ATGGTCTGCACATACTTATGTTCTACTTTTCCAAACATAATTTTGAATTTTTATAAAATTTCAATATCTTCTTCTTCCCAAAATGACTGAAGACTACCACTTAACAGATTTTGTTTACTAGAAGAGTAACTCATTTATTAGAAGATTAAGAAACACGGTCACCACTTATGTAGAAAATATGGGTGATTTTAAGTATTTTTTTAATTGGAAAGTCCTGTAATTCACTTTATATCTCAGAGAGAATGATCAAATGATCTGAGAGGAGAAAGGTAGCATAAGTGACAATATTCATTCAATTTATTGCACATGCTGGTGTGAACATTTTATGTCAAGTAACAAGTGCTATAGAAGGTGTCATGAACAAAGCTAAGTCAAGAGTTAGGTTTGTTTTCTTCTGTGTGCTTACAGGTTACTGGTAAAAAGTACTAGTAACTTAAAAAGCCTAATTATCTAATAGATCTGAAGAAGCTGTAGTTAATAAGCACAAGAATGAAAGGAATTTTGTTCACTCTGGTGAGAAAAGTTTCATGTGAGAGTAACAGAAAATTCTAGAAAGAGGAGGAGACAGAGAGGAAAATGTGATCAAACAAACACTAGAGGAAGAAAAACATACTAGAAATGAGGAATAAAGTTTGAGTTCACAAATTGAGCAGGAGTGTCTGGTCACAGACAAAATTCATGACGAAACATGAGAAAGAGCCACCTGAGCTGGAAATTCTTGAATTTCAATGTTAAAATGAGCGACTTCCAAGTTCACAAGTTCTACAAGTAGGGCAGTTTGTCAGCTGGTAGAGTGCTTGTCTGGCATACAGGAAGCCCTAGGTTCAGTCTCTAGCCACATAGACCAGTGGTGGCTCATATCTATAATCCCAGTACTTGGGAGGTACAGAAGGAGAATCCAAAGTTCAAAGCTAATGTAGGCTACATGAGACCTTATCTAAAAATTGTTTTTCAATAAATATTAGAAGGACTTTTCTTTTATTAAGTTACAGGAACAAGACTTAGACTAACATGAAGTGCTCCATCTGCAATCCAGAAAGCCACAGAGCATAGATGAAAATCTCCAGGAAGAGCAGACTACAGACTAGAACTCCTAGTCACAGGAAAGGTACCTGTGGTACTGGTAACTATAGGCTATAAAGGTTTTCCCCATGATGTTTAATGGGGGAAGACATAGTCCCCTGTGCTGAAATTATTGGAAGGGCTGAGCACTGATCAGAACAGAGGTCACAGGACAGGAACAGCATCCACACTGATGCTGTCTCTGAAGTCCGGTTCTGTGATAGAAGGACAAAGAAATGATTAGAGGGGCAGGAAAGGAATGTGCTCAGGAGGGAACACAGCAATGATCTTACTTGACACTATTTCAACTAAACCTATGGATGGACAAATGATGGGACCAGTGAAAGAGTGAGGGAGAGAGGTCACTTCAAGGTTCGTATGCCAGTGTGACAAGTAGGGTTTAAGCGTTAGAGACAAGGGCACAACAATGCTTATTTATATAAAAAATGAGTAAACAGAAGTAGAGGTGCAGCTCAGTTGGAGAACACTTGCTTAGCAGGCATCAGATCCTAGGATCAATTCCCAGTGGTGGATATATTGAACTAATTAGTCACTTATGATCCTCTGAATATAACAACTTGACAGATTAAGAAGTTTTATCAGGGCTTGGAGAGATGACTTGGTTTCTAAGAGCACTTGTTACTCTTCTGTAGGATCTAAGTTTAAATCCCAGCACCCTTATGGTGGTTCATAGCCATCTCTAACCCCATTTTCAAGAGTCTGATACCCTCTTCTGGCCTCCATGGACACCAGGCATGAATGTGGTGCACAGACCTAAGTATAGACAAAGCATCCAATTGCATAAAATAAAAATAATCTTTTTTTAAAAAGTATCATCAACCTTTCATATTCACCAGAGACAACAAAGAATATTAAAAGGAAATGTTACTATTCCAATAAACATAGAGAAAAACAAGGAGATTAAATAACACAGAAAAATAAGAAGTAAATACATATACTCTTGGAGGCATAAAATCAAGGCTTATTATGCTGAGAATGGCTTAAATTCATCTATCCAGAGAAAGGGTTAGCAATGCAGAGTTTTACAATGCAGCTTGAATTTTAGAAACAGGTGCTCAAAGGGAGGAATCCAGAGGTCAGCTCATCTCCCCAGACCTCTCTGAGTTCCGTGGGCAAGATCTGGTGTTAAGAACACCAAAGGGCTATTTCTCCAGAGATGGTAGGGTTCTAGAATGACTGTTCAGCCACTGTCAGAGACAGAGTAGGTCTAAGGTTTACCCTCCTGGCTTCCTAAGAGAATACCTCCTGAGGCACACATTTACTAGATATCACCAGCTGTCAATCATTGCCACTGGTTGCATTCTCTACATTGCTTTTAAAGTAGTCTTCCTAAAGCCAGAATTCAGGTCACCCACATCACCCCACACTGCTCAGGAAGAGGCTCTTCTCTTATAGCTTCTTTCCGCAGATTCTTCTGTAAGAAAGGGCCATCTGCCATTCCAGAATCATTAAAACAATAAGATTTTGTAAAATTTTACATTGAGATCCATTGAAGACTGGGATGTTCAAGACTCTCAACTTCCTTAATTCAGCAACTAAATAACAACATTGGTCAGAATCTTGCCCTCTTGAGATTTGTATTGTTCACATATCTTCACCGGAGCTGGGCACATTGGGCTCCTACCGATGGTTCTGCCACTAGGTATTGAGACACAGATCACTTAGCCTTTCCTGGTTTATGAGTCTTTGCCAGCACTGCCTGAGGACGAGAATCCCTGTATCATTGTGGCATGAGAAAGCCAAGAGTTGGAAGCATTAAAAGTATTACAGCCACCCATGAGTGCTTAGTTTCCTTGAGTTTGGCTCTGTGTTTATAGCTGGGGGATTAAAAGTTCCTGGGTGTATGCAACCTGGGGCTACTTTGAATATGGTGATCATCAATGTGTTTATTACCACTTTTTAGCTGCTCATGCTTCCATTTTGATACCTGTCACTGGAAAACAGCATTCTGCATAATATAATTTTTCATGTTGTAAGAATAACTAACATTGGTTTTACTCATTTAGCATCTCAGGTGACTATTCCAAAAGATTTTTATTCATCACCTTAGTTTGGCAACTTGTGACAGTCCTAAGGCTGGATCCATTCCTCTACAGAAATGGCACCACTGTTCATACAAGTCTTTTTGAGCACAGTACCATCACCATGGCAACCCAAATGGATTTGGGATACAGAAAACTTTTAAGGCATTACAAGCCAACCATGAGGTAACTTGTACAAATGTTCTTGGAAGAAAATCCAAACTCTTTAGCATGGCCCTGTGGGCTGAGAAGTCTGACCGCTGACTTCTTTCTCAGCCTCATCTGGCATCATCTCCAGTTTCCCTTCCTCCCTGTGCTCAGCCACATCAGCCCTGGTCCAGCCTTCTGATCTTCCATGACAACTACAGATCCTTTGTATTGACTTCTATAGGATTTTCTTTCTTACCTTGAGACTGCTCTTTCCATTGATTCCTGTATGTCAGTTCAATTTCAACTCCTGTCATTTCCACAGAATAGTCTGCGTGGCTCCAGCTACACACACACCCTCCCTGTCTGACCTGGATCCTTGGTATGCTCTCTTGCCATCAATTTCTAGGATTATTTGATTTATGTCTCTTTCACTAGGACTCAGCTAGCCTCAGCAGAGTGGGCTTGCCTGGTCTTGTTCACCATTGTTCATACAATAGCCACCCCAACATCTGCGTAGCAAGTGTCCAGTGATCTATGAATGACTGACAAGTGGGTGAGTAAATGAATGGATTTCTCTGCCATGGCTATTCTTGTTTCATATATGCTGCTAAGCTTTATGGAGGGGGCAGGCGGTTGTAAAACAGGCATACATAGCTGAAAACACATCTAGCCCAGAACTGTTCTTAGTATTTATTCCAGGTAAATCCAATGAGGGGTGACCCTCTTTGTTCTTTCTTCATCTTTCTTAAGGACATTTGAATATCTTTGAAACAGTACAATATCAAATGTTGAATGAATCTAATTTTAGGTTTGACTTTTTTGGATAGAAAAATAATGTCTCCTTCTCTGTACCATTGAAAAGCTGCATTTCCAGATGGGCTTATACCACTGAATGTTCTGCTTTCGCTTCTCCTATTAAAGGCATTTCCCACCACTTAATGTTTCGCTTCACTTATCCCAATTTCAAGAACAATATGTAAGTGCATATAATAAGAAGCAGCAAAAGACCATGTGTAATTACTTACACTGCACATGGCCCTCTTTAAACTGTTCATGTAGAGTTTGATAAAGGTCACCCACGAAAAAGAATCAAAGATTCCAGAATGTTTAAGTTCTAGAGAGGCTAGTGAATGCTGTCAGTCATCCACTCCTCCTTGTTAAATTTCAGGATGACATTAATATCAAGTATCTAAAACCTTATAAGATCAGCCAGGGTTGGTCTGACTCTGTCTTGAAAAACAAAACAATCAAAAAGAAAGAAAAACACACAAAACAACACCACTATGGCAGACTGTACATTTAAGACATAGGACCATCCAGGTAAGATTAAAATCAAAATTTCCCTTTTGAAAGTCCATCCACTTTATTCTCTACTGTAGGATTTCCAGGGCTATTCAATTTCTATTCTGTTGACACAAATTATCTTGCCTTTCATTGTTCTCTAAAAACAGTGAGCTGCTGTCCTACTTTATACACTGGCAGGTAACTTGGAGCAAGTAATTTAAAATTGCAATGGTCTGTTGAAACGTACTTTTTCACATTAAAACACGGCATCTAAAGAAGCAATACCATCCACGCTGACCGGTTGTGATACCCTGAGCCATGAGCTGTGGCGCTTCTGGAACTGCCTGAGCTTTTAAACATAAAATAAAATATTTTCCATTTGTACTTATTTTTTCTACTTTAGATTTTTCTTAATGTTCTCTTGAAGTACAACTCAGTAAGAACTACGGATAGGCCACTCACCTCTTAAAAGTCTGATTAGGAAGCAGAAGACAAAGACAAACCAGAAGTATGGCTTCATGTCTGCCGGGAGAAGCTGCAGTCTTCCCCTCCAATACACAAAAGTATCAGTGAAGTCATGTTCTCAGTTGTTTTCTGTTTTCTGGAGAGGAAGTGGGTTTGTGGAGGTTGGTGCGGTGTCACATTTACCATCATCTTCTACATGGAGAGCTAACACAGCGCCTCCTGCCTGACAAGCGCCCAGTGCTGCATGAATGGGTGGGTGCGTGAATGAATAGATGGATGGATATGTGAGTGAATGAATAGATGAATGAATGAATGAATGAATGAATGAATGAATGAATGGGTGGATGCATAAATGGATGGATGGATGGATGGATGGATGGATGGATGGATGGATGGATGGATTTTATTTTCAAAGCTATTTATGTGTCCCTTATGCTGCTGGGGACTTCATGAACCATTGATATCACTGCTGTGTGGAAAGCATTACTATTTGTAGGGTGTATGTTTAATATTTGTTGATCATGAAGACAGGAAGAAAATGTGGCCCTCATTCTGGTTAGAAATACAAAAGCCCATCATTTTCAGAAGCCATTCATTCAGAGCTCCAGATCAATAGCTACTGGGGACTGCAGATCCAACACAAATGATGAATAAGACATATTTTGGCACAGTTGTCACGGCCATTTGCTGCAGAGGTGTAAGTCCTTTGAAATAGGACAGAAAATAAATGAAGTTTTTGAAGAAATTGACATTTTAAAACATCTGAAAGAGGAACATTCTAGGAATACAAGAAATAATATTTATACGGTATTTGTTATAGATTATGATTTTGTAAATGATAGGATCAGGTTTAAACTGACTTAACCCCTGCTCTCTAAGTTACAGCCATCTGTAGAAACTCGAGAGTCTATCTGCATGTATGGATGCGTATGAAGCAAGAAAGCTAAGATGCCTGATAAAAATCTCTGTCCCTGCAAAAAGAGAAAAAAAGACAGTGGCAACAGCAATAATGCGAATAATTTATTTACAGCCACCTAAATTTTATAGTAAATATATGAAATATAAAAATATACATAAAATTTAAAGGTAAAGGGGATGGAAGATGGACCAGTGATGAAGAACACTTGCTATCCAATGTGAGGACCTGAGTTCAAATCCTTAACAACTAAGCAAAACCTGGGTGTGACTGTACACATCTGTAACTTCAGGAAGGCAGATAGGAGGATCCCTAGAGCTCACTTGCCAGCCAGCCTAGGCAAAATGGTGAGCATCAGGTTCCATGAGAGACTTTGTGTCAAGCAGAAGCAGGAATGATACAGGAAGATGCCTAGTGTCCTCTTCTGGCCTCTGAATGCCTGCTCATATACCACACACATGCTACACATGCATACTACACACCATACCCCCTACAAGCACACACACTTCAATGTAGAACAATGCATGTTTGCTATGTATAAAATATACCACACTATAGTTAAATTGTTTTACATGGACTTTTTGTGTACATATATATTCATATTATTCTATGCATGTTAAATTATATATTACTATTAATCACTTTATGTATTGGGGTCCATTTTTTTCTCATCTCATAAATAGGAGAAAATGAGGCACAGAAAAGTAAAGAGCCTGACCTAGTCCAAGCCCTAAAGTAAGTGTCTGTGCTGGCATATGAACAGTCTAGCTCCCAAGTTCAAACTCTTAACCAAGCAGAAAGAGCCATTCAAGCCAAGGCCTGTTACTAAGATGTAGCTGAGGTTTTCTGCAATTGCCTCATTTTTAGCCTGTCCTCACTGTGGCATGAGTAAGCCACTGTAGGCCCTTTCCCCTTACTATGTACAGAGAGCTAGCTCCTACATCATAAGTATGGTGCTCTTGTGAACACCAAGGTGCCCCGATTCAATAGCCCAGACACAGTTCATGAGGAAGGCTGGAGGTCAGACCCAGATGATGAGCATCTTCCAAGCACCTGAACTATTTCTAATGTATTCACTCATTCAAGTCTCCCAACTACTCTACCAAGGAGATCTCCTCATCCTTCCTGGGTATGAATGAGAAACTGAGGGTTGGAGAGGTTGGGAAATTAACCCAGGGTCACACTGGGTACAAAGACAGGTACTGGTCAAGCCCAGTACAGTGGAACTCCAGGTTCCACAGTCTACACTGTCATCAAACACACTGATGCTGGCCCCTGCTCATCTGGCCAGAAATTCCTGGTCATGTTTTTACTGAGGAAAGTCCTAAATTATCCCTGTTCTTAGTTTGTTCTTAGTTGAGCTTTTAGAAATCATTACATGTGGAAGTGACAAGGCTAGGTCACAGATTATTCACCTGCCACTAACTTTCCTAAAGATGACTTCTCTGACTGAGGCCACCCAACATAGTAAAAGCTGTTCTCTCTGTATTTATAGAGGAAAGATAACTTTTGTATTGTTAGCAGTTCACTGAAAAATCAACTATTTCTGGGAAACGGAACTAAAAGGGAGTGAGTCATGAGTCTTTCTAATCAGTAACTTCAGATTTACAGAATCCAGAATTTCCAGTGACTACAGGTAACAGCAACCCACGCATTGCAGAAGTGTGGCATCCAAAGTTTACAACTAGCCTGGTGCCTCCCCAGAAATCACTTACATGCCATCTTGTCCTTGTTGCCTTGTTGACAACAGCCTCCACCTCTGTCTTATTTGGTTTGATAACTTTCCAAGTAAATCTCTCTTCTTATCCTGATAACTTATCCTTGAGTCACTGGCTTTTTCCATACACAAGCAATGAACTTGGGTTCACGGTTACCTCACACATCAGCCTTCTGTGTTCCTGGAGGAAGAGTATACTTAGCCCCAAGAGGAAGTTTCAAACTCCTGTAATGCAAAAATGACTTTTCTAATGAAATTTAAGTGTAGTGTTTCTACCTCAAGGGGAGAAAGATTGGACCGGTTATGGTTGAATTCCACTTTAGTTCAGGTGAATATGTATGTTTTTATTTACTGTGAATCTGATTGCTTCTAAACTACCATGGTCCTCGATATGTAGGACATTTGGTACCAAGTGGGGTAGCAAAGCTAGCGTCTATGTAAATGATGTTATGGACAACATCTCTGATTCCCAAAATCTGTGTAAAGAATACAAGTGTTTGTGGTTTTAACTATTCAGAATCACTTTTCTTGTGCCTGAAAAACAAGTTGAGCAAAAAAAGAAAAAAAAAATTCCATTTACCCTCTGCCTCCAGGAAGTACTTTTTATTTGCTTGGTTTTTTTTTTCATTTTTTTAAAAATTCCATGACTTAAGAGGGTTTTGATTTGTGTGTGCAGATAGCGAAGCTGAGGGTGGGGAACGGAAAGTTTGTTACATTTAAAGTAACGTTTACAGCTCCTGCCCTCTGAGCTGCTGAGTGCCAAGCCTGCTGGCTTTTCTCAAGCACTGCAGATACCATCATTTTGCTGTGCTTAAAGCTGTCATAAAGTAACACTTGGGTGAGCAGAGGACCTCACACACTAGGGCCCTGAGAACAAAAACTAGGAGTTAAAATAACCATCCCCAAAGCACCCTTAAGCTGCATTTGCATTTTGAAGTGGGCAGACATGGAAAGAGCTCTGTCCTTACTAATCAAAATGGTGTCTCCCCCCACATGTTCTCTGTGGAAGTAGCACGGCCTGCCAACCAGCCACTCAACCAGCCCTCTCCTTTCTTCCGTTGACTCAAAGTGAGCTTCAACCACTGTCCTTCCCAGCTATGTTCCACGCATTTTTCTTCCTCTCTTATCAGGTCACTGCAGCATGGACATCCAGCCTCTCTCTCTTCACCTTCTAGATGCTCCTCTTCCCGTGTCAAAGTCTTCAACTGACATTGTAAAGGTATGCAGAGTTCACGTAGACTTCCTCTGCCACACACCCATGACCCTGGACAAAGGCAACTCCCGCTGTTGTTCTTCATCTCTCTCTCGACGCAATTGCTCTTTCCTCTTCCTGTACCAAACGTTTATGCCACACCGAAGGATGGGGGCTTCTCTACATCCCCCAGAAGGCACTTCATTCCAGGAGCCCTTTTCTTGTCCCTATCCTCCCCATCCTCCCTCTTGGTGTTCTTTCTTCCACAGAAATCCTGCTTTTCTTCCACCCTTGGTTTTCACACTCATTAGTTAAGGGAGGAAGACTTTCCCGGGTGATTTCACTCACTAGCTACTTAATTTTTTTAATTCTATCTTATTTTATTTTATTGGGGAGGAAGGTTGCAAGGGAAGAAGACAGATACAAACGTAACAGGTTTTCTGGATCTATTTGATCTCATACCCAGCCCCATCTGAAGACTCACCATATAATTGTGACGGCCTGTTTGATTTTGTCAACCTAAAACCAACCAAACAAACATCCAGAGAGAAAGTTTCATAGAATAATGGCATTTTTATGGGAATAGTAGAACATTGCAATGGGCACACATACGCCATAGTAAACTAAGGGCATAGTCCAAGATAGTGAGGCAGTGGGAAGTTTTTAAAAAGCAAATGGAGGATTACATCAGATACTGACCAAGAGTAATCCTGGCCCTGAAGATTCATAGTGAAAGTGCCGTCAGTCTGAGGTTCAAACAGACAGTTGCTGGGCAGACGCTTGCTTGTAGAAGTACTTTTGTGCACGGCTGTGGTACTCTGTACAACTTTGTGGTTCTGGAAGATTCTTCTGCAATAGTTTCTATCAGCCAATCATACTTAAGAATCTTTCCTTTAGAATACACTTCCCACTTGAATTTTTTTTTAAGGGGGAGGGCCGGGTTGACACAAGTGACTCCATTTTGATTCTGACAGCTTTCACTTTTTCTTCACCTCACACTTTTTTTGTTGCTGGTCCTAGACTGTGGGCAACCTCACAACAAAGAATGCAGGTGCTTTTTCCATAACTATATCTGCAATGCCTGACACAGTGCCTGGGACATGGGAGCTCCACAACTTTACTGAATGATGTATGGTAAAAAAAAAAAAAAAAAAACCCTCCTGGCTTTTGAAAGAAGCATATTTCTTCAATAATACTTATCAGTCACCATTTCTATTTTTTAAAACTTTATTTTTTTTATGTGTGTGTGTGTGTGTGTGTGTGT